GATTGACAGTGCAGATACTCCTGGAAATGATGATGATGTCGACGAAGGTATAGGCGAAAGAATTTTTAAATAACGTGCATTTGACTTACTTTTGCAATACATATGAATCAGTTGTGCAGGAAGAGTTTCCTGACGCAATTTTATATGAGTATTTTGATAGCAACCACGGCCATTATAATAAATTGAGGGCATTTGAAGTTGGATTCCTGCAATTAACTGATCAGAAAGGTGTATCGAGGGAAGTACAACGACATCTAATTTCATTCATCAACAAAAACTTGCTTGATTGTATAGCACCAGAGCTTGCATCGAAGGTTAAAACAAAAAGCAACAAAGACTTCCATTTCTCATGTTTATATCTCTCAATTAGGCTTAGGTGATACAAAGCTTCGTTCTCCTGATCAGATAAAAAATACAGTGGTTAAGACTAGAGGTATTTGTAAAGAATATGATGTCTGCGTTAATAGCTGTTACCTTTCATGGATGATGATCAAGCTGTAGATTGCCCTAATCCCAAATGTAAAGAGAAAAGATTCAAAGACAATAGCAAAGTTTCTCGTGAAATTATGCCATGCGTGTCCATCGGTGAAGCATTGACACAGATGCTATTGGATGATGACAACAGGGAGCTTTTTGACTACAAGCCTACGTTCAATCTCGATGATAATCAACTTGTTGATATTTTTTCGGGTCAAGACTTCAAGCGTTTGCATCGTAAAGGGGTTATTGGTGAAAAAGATATCTGCCTTGTAATGTATGTTGATGGCTTCCAAAATAAGCACAAACCCGGTCATAGCCAAACCATGATTCACTCTATCATCATGAACCTCGACCCATCTGTTAGGTAACATAGATCCCCACCCTTTTTTCTGTGAAAGTTGTTTTCTTCCTTTCTTACCGTTTTATAGATTTGAAGAAAACATGATGATGCCTTTAGGTGTTATACCGGGTGGCCCTGAAAGACATACGATTTGATGTCGTTCTTAAGCCATTCATTGAAGAAGTAGGAGTCTTGAGTACGAAAGGCATGACAGTTGTTAAGAATGGTCGCGATGTTTACACAGGAAGAGTGTTTATTCTTGGAATCACAGGTGATATTCCCGGTATTGCCTCTTTAATGAACCATCAAGGACACCAATCGACTAGTGGATGCAGAATGTGTAAAGTCACTGGTGAAAGACCAATTGGAACTTCACACGGCATGTATTTTAAGAAAAAAGGAACTATGAGAACCAAGAAGGAGTTGGTATCACGCAGTCAAATAGCGGTTAGTATATTTGACGTATAATGGATACAATGTATACTTACGAATAATTTTTTTGATGAAGGTAAACGGAATGTATGGTGTTCCCGAACAGATCAGTCGCTTACCAACATTCAACGGATCTTCTTTTTTTCTTTGCGACGAAATGCATTTGTTACAAAACATTGGAAAGTTGGTGTATGCTTTGGTCTCTCCTGCGGATAACGTACGTTACAAAGCGCCGGGTAATAAAGGCTTAAGTAGATTACAGACACAGAACAGCCGCTTTTTTGAAGTAATTGATGGCTTGTTAACGCATCCAGAACGAACATACCCCAGTCATTTGAAGGAAATTGGGAACGGACAAAGGGACACAACCGTGCTGTAGATTGGCATGATTTCCTGTTGTATATTATTCCAACATTGGTCATTCAGCATATACGATCCGAAGAAGCAAGAGAAGCATTGATGAATCTAGTGTATGGTTGCTCCATAGCCATCCAATGGTCTATATCCGATGCTGACACTAGGGACATGAATAACAGGTACTGTAGTCATATATGAAAAATAGATGAGGTTTTGCATTGGAAAAATTAACTTTCTTATTTACCTAACCACCTTTATGATAAGATTTGACAAATGGCATACATTTTTGAGAGACGAGATCTTAGCGGAGAGATTAAACGTTCGTGTTTTCACTGTCAACAATCATTATTTGTGTCATCTGGAGTACATTGTCAAAAATGCAGGACCTCTGAAAGCCTACTCTTGTCGCAATTTGGAACGTACAATAAAAAAATACAGCAATCTGATCAAGTCCAAAAGCCGTATTAATGCCAATGCTTCCAACACCATCAGAAGTCAAGCAGGCTACAACTCACATCATATCCGAGGTCTCACGTCTGGCTTGGTTTCTGGTTCTGGTTGCAGCCCATCCTCGTATTTGGATCACCCATCAGGCTTGCCTGATTCCCCTCAACTACTGGCTCCTTTTATGGATGATACCCTGTTGGATGACACTTGTGCGGAACTGGTATGCTGTGGCTTGATAAAGAGCAAAGTTGTCAGGGCCTTGCAACATTACTACATGCGTACAGCAGGTTACGAAGCAGGAGAGCTTGAAAGTATGGACGTAGTCATTGCAGCAAGAGCATGGAAGGACTCGAAGCAATTCTCTTCAGAATTCGATCGAAAGGCCAAGAATTTGCATACAAGGGCCGGTCACATCGTACTGTTTGATGTCAGTACCAATAGAAGGTAAAAAAAAAAAAAGAGAGAGAGAGAGAGGAAGAGAGAGACGAAAAAGAGATATTAAAACAATGTCCTTAGCTCGACCCGAAATGCTTGGTTTGTTGGAAAGGTGCAGTGCTTTATTCAGCATAAGCAGGAAAATGAGGTTGCCTTCTTGGCAGTGATTGAGGTGATGGAGCAGCACAGTCTTGACAGTCATGGTGTTCCTGTTGTGGTTGAAAACACAAAAGATAAAGCCTATCGCAAGATTGCTGTGTGTGATGTAACCGACATTGTTGAATGTGTTGGCCTTGTGCAGTACTCGGCTACAAAAAGTAAATTCAAAGTCGTGTGGCCAAAGGCACAATTTCATAAAAAGCTTGACCGAAAACTTTGTGGCCAAACAACTGATTACTAGTAAATAGAATAAAAAAAAATTTAGACAGAGCTCATTATTTTCAGTTTTTGGAGTCTGGAATTTGCAACATGTAAAAAAAAAAAAAAAAAAAAAAAAAAAAAAAAAAAAAAAAAAAAAAAGAGGACGGTAAAAAAAAAAAGCGCAAGATTTAAAATATAATTGCCGGAAAAAAAAGATTTGTGTATTTCTTGACAAATTTGTGTTATGCGACCAAAACTTTGGTCTCCCGACACAAGTTTTCGTTTTTTACATAAATAGTTCGCCGTTGTGGACAATATACGGATAAAGTTTTTTACCCTTTTTTCTGTAGAAACAAAGGATTTTCTCAAATGTGCAAAGATTTATTTTGGTGTGATCTGACAGAACCACGAGTTTCCAGTTTGTTACGGTACTCTCAATTTAAGATTTGGAAACAGACAACACTGTCCGACATTTTCTTTCTTCCAATTAACGCTTTTTCGGTTTAATAAATAGAAACACATGTTACTTCAGTATCACAGGAATGATGGTGCCACTTCTGAAAATTAGAATTCATTGGAAACTATTAGTAGCACCTTAAAAGCCAACTCAACTCCTGTTTTTATTACTTTACAGAAACACATAGTCGACATTCCAGCTTGTTATCTTTGGCGGACTGACAACGGGCGGCGCACTCATAAAACCAAGTGGTTCTAGTTAATTATGTTAATAGTCTTATTACATACACCGGTACTAGAACCAGTCTCTAAAGCACTCATACCATTAGCCCAACATTTGACTATACCAGTAAGTCGTAGAATCAAAGATACGAGGCGTGTTTCGAACAAAAAAACGTTTCTGTAAACGTTATGGAAAAAAATGTTATAACTTCTTACAAGAGTGATAACAACTTAAACATTTTTTATGAAACACTTTCAGCCCAATTAACAACCTAATAAAAACAAAAAACATAAAAATAAAAATGTTTCCAACGTGTCCCTATGCTATCAAAATGTGATTTCTTTTCAAAATATCAAAATGTCAAATAGTTAGAAAACTTTGGAGGGCTCTGTGTACACGTTTTTGAAATCCAACCCTAGTTTAAGGATATTCTCATCTAATTTGCGAGTTATCTTACATGGGAAACTAATCTGATAATCCGATACAAGTATAGAATGCATGAAACATTCTGGAACTGTTTCTAACTTTTTGTACTCTATTTCGGCTATTAGTTAAATGTGACCAGAGGACCCTAAAGTGACAGATCTGAACAGATAAAGGACCTGAATTTTCGGAGGTATCGCATAACGACGGATAACGGACCGCAGTACCCTGAAATCAACGGATTTTGAGGGATAACGGACCGGAGTGCCCTGAAGTCAACGGATTTTGAGGGATAACGGACCGGAGTACCCTGAAGTCAACGGATTTTGAGGGATAACGGACCGGAGTACCCTGACGTCAACGGATTTTGAGGGATAACGGACTGGAGTACGCAAACGTATTGGATCTTGACGGATAACGGACCAGAATTCCTTGTTTTTATGATTTAGATGGATAACGAACTGGATTTACCAAAATATAGCCCCACTAAAAGTCTTATTCGATGGATTACACATGTTCTGAAAAATGTTTTGTTTGGCTGTTTATTCACTTTTAAACAGCTAATTTGTATTCGGAAAAATTTGACTTGAATTTCATACGATGTTTTGTCAAGGGCAAAAGCGTTAGAGTCTAAATCTTGCAATTATTGACTTTTATCCACAATAGCTGCGTGAAAATTTGTTTTGTCCAGATAATTATAGAGTTTAATTTTGACCAGACATTTATTAGACCAAGATACTTTATTGCGTCGTCTGTCCAAGTTGTTGTTACCGATTTAAAATATGATTTCGCTACCAGTTTTACCACAGGGATTTCAGTATTTGCTTTTAAGTTACTTCAATGACAATTTCTCTTCGTTTAAAAATTTTCTTTGCATTGTTTAAGATCCTTTTGACTGATGTAACCCATATTAATCTTGCAATGACCAACAGCCTTGACCTGGTGGGGACGAGTGTTGGGGTGGCACAAGAGGGAGCGTTTGGATGGATTTGAGCTCAGGTCAGTAGCAATGTTGTACCAACCTCATTTGTGTCGAAAGGACAGTGAATTGGCGAGATACGCGGGATCTAGAGGATCAAAAATCTTGATGAAATTGACCTTGGCTATGTTCATAATGTTGGTGAATACAGGAGTAAACAACTCCTGTACAAGAACACTAGGAGAGCCATTGGCAGAAAAAATGATATCGATAATACGACCTGTATCGAGACCAGCTAACTTGAAACGCCTGTGAGTTTTAGCGCTAGTGATCTTTCTATTTCTGCCAGTATATAAATATTGAAAACCGTTGGGTTTGGTGGGATCACGCTCGAAAAAGAACGTACAATATTGGCAATAGTCTCAGCTGTCATTTTAATGGGCCGGGCCTTGGGTTTGAGTGGCTTGCTAGCATTGATAGCATCTTTTTGGGCCATGGTTAAACCAGGCTTTCTCGGGGAGTCTTTCGGCCTAGCAGTGGCCTTGATAGTGCTAAGAGCCAAGGAAAAAGGAGGTAGCTGACTCCAGATGGTTCCATTACTTGCCAGATCATCAATTTGATCGACATCAATGCCGGAATTGGTTTCTATTTTGTTTTCAGGCTGGAGTTGTAGATTGACGAACATTGCGGCTTGATCTGAATGTTAGTTTCCAAGACCAAAAGTTGAGACTTTTAATATGATCCAATCTTGTATGATAGCTTACCGTACAGTAAATTTAGCTTCGTATTCATCGAAGCGACGGTTTTTGTCAGGAGCGGAGCGGCGCAAGAGCAGAACAGAATGATTATTAAGGTGAGGACAAGGCAAGAGAAAATTAAATATCTATTAGTATTAAGATATATATAAAAAGGAATGAAGGTAGAAAAAGGTTTATTTAGAGAAGCCGGAAAAATAGATAAGATCTTGAATACAGAAATAAGAATAAATAAACATGCTGTTATTTATATTAACTGACAGATCGGGTGAACAAGGGTCCGGGATCATATTTTCAGAGACAGATCATTGGTCATATTGAGTTTGGGACATCTTAGGGGCAGCGGGCATAGATACAGATAATTTCGGGGATAGATGTAGAGGATAACATGGGCTGATATTATTAGTGATTTAAAAAGGAGTTCAAAGTCAGAGGTACAAAGGAAACGGAAGTTAAATGGGTTTTACAAGGACAAGGGATAACGGAGATACCTTATTCGGAACAAAGACGCTAGACAGGAAACAATATGGATGTTTGTCAGTGACATGTGTGACAGGAGACAGAGAACAGGGAACAGGTGGAACAAGGACAATGGGCTAGTTGGCTTTCAAAAATGATCTGAGACATTTTGCATGATAACACGCAACTGAAACCTAGGTGGTTCATGACAGTTTTGTTCTCGAAGTTGCTTTGGCATATCCAAAGCAAATTCTGGAAGAGAGAAAAACAGGTGTGTGTCCCAAGGAAAATTAGGTTTGACATGAGGCAGCGAGGAGGTGTCGAAAGAAGAGCGGATGTCTTTACCATTAGCAATTTCAGATTCTTGTGATGGTTCCGAACTGTTGGAAATTTTTTTTTGGCAGCTTGGTAGTACTTACTGAAGTAACTGAGAAAACCTTAAGAGACGGGATGAGTTGGCAAGCCGTAGCCGTGGGCAACTGGCTTGGACGCAGAAGCTCGGTCGTTAGGTAGCGACAGTAGTCCTAAAACTACTGCCATTCGAGAAAGGTTTCAAGACATCCCATGCTTTTGAGGATGAAGCAGGAGCATTTCCTCTAGCTCTAGCAAGGGATTTAGTCTTTGTCATTATTGTTGAGAATGTCGTATATTATACTAGCTGGCATCTCGCTCACTTCGTGAGTGGAGCCAGCGTCTGAAACGCACTCAAAGTTAATAAATATAAGGTGCTCTCATAATCGGAAACCGAAAATAAATTGCCTAGTTTTTCTACAAAAATAGTAACACAAGTGCTTGAAAAAGCGATCTAAAAATGGGCAAAATAACACACATACATATATGGGTGGAAATAAAAATCTGATCAAAGTCAAAGTACATTCAAATATATTCGCTTGAAAAGGAAATGATAAAATAACAAAAGTTTTTAAATCCACATTTTTTTTATTTTTTTTTTCCTCCCTTTTACTTTATTACTACTTTTTATCACTTACACCACGGGAAAATCCAAGTGTTTATAGGTGTGATTCGAGTGATCATTTTAACACTTATTTAAACACCTAAAGAAAGTGTTTTGCGCCAATTTTATGAGTGATTTCCCCCGCTTAAAGAATGGTTAAAATCACTTCAATATCACTTTAATATAACTTAAAGCCACCTATTTTACACACCCTAATATCACTTTTATACAACTCATTGTCACTTATACAGCGCACACCTTAATATCACCTTAGATCCACCTTAAAATCACTTTAGATCCACCTTAAAATCACTTTAGATCCACTTTAATATCACTTTAGATCCACCTTAATATCACTTTAGATCCACCTTTATATCACTTTAGATCCACCTTTATATCACTTTAAATTTCACTTTAAAACTACCTAAAGATCACTTTAAAATGAACATTTTTACAGTTATAAAAAACTTTATTTGAAGAAAAAAACATTATTTGGAACTTGTGGGAAAGTACTGTTGTCGATACAGCTATGCAACAGCAAGAATCGTTCACTATCATTGGAAAATATGACATGTTAATAATACTATCAAAATGGTTATATAGTAAGCCTTACATTACATTATTGGTTAGAAGCCGAGTGCCGTCTCTTACGGTTTTTGTTCATTTTTGAGGGAGCCTTGTTTGACCAGCAGCTCTGTAACATGAAGTAAATGGCCCAGTTATCTTTACAACAATTGACAATGTCTGTAATGTTTAAAAGATGAGCTTCCCTGGAGACTCTTGATATTAACTCCTTCTTGATAACACCAGATAACGTTTTCCAAGGTACATATTCATCCATGCTTGACCTCAGGACAGAATTGCAAATGGAGTTAATATCCTTGCTTAGCAGACGATACATACCTTCTGCTGTTTCGGGCTGGCCAAAAGAATTCAACAGAAAAATTCCGCTATCGCTATTCTTTAGTATGTTAATGATATCAGTAACATGAACAGTTTCTGGCTTTTTGATCAAGTCAATCTCTTCATAATCGACTTGCATTTGATCTTGACCGCTATTTGGAAAAACATTTTGGGGACTTGTAGTAGCTATTTTACCCAAAATGGTTTCTAATCGATCCAATCTTTCATTAAGACTTTTTATAGCTGAATTTTGCTTTGCGATGATAGTTCCTTCTAGCTTCTCTATTTTTTCAAGCACAATATTTACCTATGTAGGTTGTCTAGACATATTGATGGAAATTTTTAGTTGGTATTTTAGTTAAAGTAGAAGAAAGAAAAAAAACCCTCACGTCTATTTTGGAATTTCATTGTTATTGTTATTGTTATTCTTTTGGATGGCTTATGTTTGCTCTATTTAGAAAAATATGTTACGTGAAATCATGATTTATGATGGGAAACCCTATTTTAAACCGCGAGTGCCGCAATATTTGGAATCCCTCTTCTTTCACATTTAATTATCTATTAACGAAAAATATGCGTTGCGATACTTGCCCAAACAGACCATACGTTCGTACTCGCGATATAGAATCTCATAAAAGAAAGCACAAAAATATGGATTTGGAAATCGAAATGAAGGTTAATATCATTAGACGACGACTAAATATAACAAATGACAGCACTGCTGAGTCATGCGTCAATGGTTTGCCCGTAGAAGAACCTGCCAATATTCCTGATCTTGAATATGGTATGACTGACGATGACAATTTTGATCCCGTTCCCGCTTCTGGTATTGCTTATATGGATATCAACGCTGCAACTGAATTAGAAAATTTATATGAAAGTGATAGTGGAAGCTGTTTTATTTTATACTACTAGTTCCAACAGCATGCCACTTGCTGCAGAAAGGGATCATATGAGAGTTCTGATTAACACCAATAATATTATCAGTCCCATAACAACAATACCTTTACCAATAGAAGAAAATAAGCACTACCTTGTTTGGCCATCTATGTCATTTAAAAAAGATGTGTGTATAAGCAATACGCCGTTTTGGTTTTAAAAACAAAACGTAACACTCATATATCAGACTTACTAAATAATAATAAAAAAATATTGCAAATGTTAACACTTTTTGGAACACCCCTGAACACCTCAAACGCAAGTGATGAAAACAAGCTTTTATTTTAACACTCATTTGTCACCTTATACAAAAGTGACCGAATTCACCACCTATTTAATTACCTTTTAACACCTTTCTCTCAAGTGATAACAATTAACACTTATTTTAACACTTAATAGTCACCTTTACCAAAAGTGACGAAATTTAACACTTATTTTAACACCTTTTAGCACCTTCATTCTAAGTGGTAGAAATTAACACTTATTTTAACACTTATTTGTCACCTTTATTTAAAGTGATGGCGAAAAACACCCGAATAAACACTCAAAGTCACTCAAAGTCACTTATTTATTAATTTCATCACTTATTTTTTCCCGTGGTGTTACCTTACTATGAACAACACTGAAGCAAATAACAACACACCCAACAACGTACGTGGTCGCGGACGTGGTCGTGGAAATGGACGTGGAGGTAGACGCGGACGTGGCAGACACGCTGGCACCTTTGTGTTTGTTGAACCTACTGTTCAGCACAACACCACTCCTGTCAACAACAGCAATGCCCAAGCTGAGAACAACAACGCTAATGTCGAAGATGACAATGGGCCTTCACGTCCATACAACGTATGGCCTGAGGTTGCAATTTGTATCCTTCTTGAGATCATGGCAGGCACCTACAATCACTTGTTGAGAAGAGGAGATACTGCCTTGAAACAGTTTATCTGGGTTCATTCGGCAGCTCTCTTGAAAGAAAAGATGGCTGAATATGCAAACACCGATGCAGTCAGTGCTTTTATAGCAAATGTTACGCATCTCAGTATACAACGCAAGTGGAAAGACATGAAAGCCAGATTCACCAGAGCCAGAAATGCAGCAAGAGAAAGAGGAGTTGGTGGAACTGTCCCAGACATACCATACTATGAAGAAATTGCCAAGATCACTCAGGATGATCCTAGCATCCAACCTGAGGTAATTTACGAAAGCGTCAACATGGAGGAGAATGGCATTCGATCATATAGAAGATCAAACGACGTTGATTTAATGGATGCCATTGGATCCGATGGTCCCGAAACTACGTACTTGACACCTACGGAAGTCGATCAACTTGTGATCCAAAAAGCTTTGGCCGATCAATACCCCACTGAAGGATCTTCAG